GTTGGCTCAGACTCATCCCCTCCTCCGTGTCCTGAAGCTAGTTCCAGAATAGAAGAGCATCTCCCAGGTCTGCACAAACCCAGAGGAGGAGACTCGTCCTGGAGTCGCAGGGGGACAAGAGCACGTCTCAGCAGGCACCGCCAACACGCGCCTCCCCGCGCTCCCGGGAAGCACCCTGGGCCACTGAGATGGCCGCACAGAGGAGCCGTGAGTGTGGAACGTGTGCACGACTCATTTTGGTTTTTTTAGAAATTGCATCGCAGCTGGAGAAAGCTTCACAGAATATCAAAGACAAAACAAAATTCCCGCAGCTCACACAGTCACAAAACGAGGGAGACGACGAAGCCAAAGCGAACCTGACATCTCGCCCCAACAGAACTGGACATTTTAATTTCTTAAAGGTAGCCCCCACTTCCCCAAAACAAAAAGTGCTGTCAGAGGGTGTGTGAAGGTCGAGGAAACGGTGACAGAATGAGGGCGATCGCGTAGATGCACAGACTTTGGCAGCTCTGCCAGGTGTGAATTGAGCGAGCGAAGGCGGATTTCACAGCCCTGTGCGAGCGTGCTGGTGTGGCGGCGGATTTCCATGGGGACTCTGCCAAGTCCTGCCCACTGGCAAGCTGCTGTCACTACTTATGCTCGGCATCCGTGACCATGAGGCTCTGGAGCACTCTGCGTTTTTGTGGAAGACGGTCTCTTCCTGGTCTAGGGCTCCCTGCAGGGAGGGGTGCAGGTGTGGGGGGGGCCCTCCAGCGGACAGGCCTTGGCACCAAGGCACATTCTCTCTTTTAAAAACCCAGGTGGGGCACAGGCCACTAATCCCAGCAGCTCAGGAGGCTGAGGCAGGAGGATGGTGAGTTCAAAGCCAGCCTCAGCAACAGCGAGACACCACTCAGTGAGCCTCAGCAACTCAGTGAGACCCTGTCCCTAAATAAAATACAAACTAGGGCTGGGGATGTGGCTCAGGGGTTGAGTCCCTGAGTTTAATCCCCAGTACAAAAAACAAACAAATAAACAACAAACAAAACAAATCCATGTGGGTTGCACAGGAGCCATGAGTGGACACAGAAATCTAGGTGAAATGTGGAGCATCGGACTCTTCCCGAGGTTCTCCGTGGGCCTGGCTCTGGGATTGACGTCCTCCTGGTCTCCATCCCATCCCGGTTCCTGGGTGGGGGTGTGAGGAAGTCTGCCTGATTTTCAGTGTGGGAGGGGGTGAAGTGGGGTGAGCCGTGCCCTTTCTACTCTCGATCCACGTGTCCCCACGCACCAATGTGCACACACAACTGTCAAACAGAGGGTCCTGGGGCTCTTACCTCCTCAGGGTCCGTCACTGACTTGGGTCAGGTGCGCTGATTCATAAAGGTGGAAACTATAGAAACTTAAAAAAACAGCGGTTGTCAGGGACTTGGGGAAGGAGGGACAGAGATGGGGCTGGAGGCTAGTGGGCAGTGCATACTCTGTAAGATACACAATGGAGGGAAAGTGTCACGATTCATTTATCAAAACCCACAGAACAGCCAACACAGAGTGACCCCTGAGTTGATGATAATGGACCCGTATTGACTCATCATTTGTAACCAACGTCTCTCTCTGCCAGATGCTAAGAACAGAGGGGGCAGGGGAGGACAGGGCTTGGGGTTGGGACGCTGGCCTCCTTCACTACAGATTTTGTACCTGAGACTGCTCTAAAAAGTAAAGCCTGATTAAAAAGAAAAAAGGAAATCACATTTCATACTCTTGGCCAGTGCCTGTCGATAGCAGAACCTCGGGACGGCAGGGTCACAGGAGGACACGCTTGCTGCAGGACAGGTCAGGTGCTCGGGAATCCTGGACCTTCTGCTCCATTTTTCTGTGGAGCTAAAATTGCTCCAAAAAAATCAGTCTGCTAATTAATTTAAAAACAGAATGTCCTAGGAAAAAGAGGTCCTTTTGAGTAACCAGTTGCCCAGAGCCAGAGAGCGCTTTGGTCTGTTTCAAGCCACCTTGTTGGTTTCTCATCTTGGGAGGCCCCCGGGGCAGTGGTGATTATTACTGTTGTCTTCGTTGTTGTTTGTGGTGCTGAGACAGAACCCGAGGCTCTGCACAAGCAAGCACAGGACTGGGGGTCTTGGGGAGGACTGGGGGGACACAGGCTGGGCCATCAGTGACCCCCAGCACTGGCCTGGTCTCTGAGGTGTCTCGGTCACCTGGGGCAACCGTATAAGCAGGGTTAATAGGTGTCAGAATTCCAAAGGAATTGAGCACAGGGTCGCACAGTCTCTCCTGCAGAGCAGCGTTCCTTGGAAGATATGCGAGGAATGAGAACCACGCCACCCAGATCCGGCCACAGGTGTGACAGCGCACCTCCTGATACCTGTCACTGCTCCAGGCTGTAGGGTCCATGGCACTTAGTTCCCACACCCCTCACGTAGCAGGTGCTCACTAAACACGTGGCCTGCGTGGGCTGGGGGTTGGACTAACAGGGACTGAGGATCCCAAGGCGTGGCCAGCCTTCTGCCTTTGTCCTGGTGGGCCCCATAGTTGGTCTGTGGGATGGATCTTCCAGGGGAGCTTCCCATGGACCTTACCGTCCCTGTCCCTATGCAGGGCGCTGTGGATGCCAAGCCCTTCCCATCGTCCCCATCCTGTCTGGACCGCCTGGTTATGTCACACCAGAGTGGGAGCGGGAGTTCTTGTTTCCATCTGTGAAGAGAAACACAAAGGGTGAAATTTAAAAGAACATTCCGGACCTTTGGACACGTCTAAGTGTTCACTCAATAAAACCACCTTCAGTTCAGAGGAACGGGAGGAGTCCTCCATTTCTAAAATCGCTCTAAAAAATCCCCCAGACTCATCCAAATCGCCCCTTTGAATCGGGTGTGCCCAGGAACCCGTAATCAAGAGACTGGCTCTTGCCACCTGGCAGGGGCCACGTGGTCACTCCAGCACCTGCGGGACCCACCTGTCAAATCCTTCCTACTGCTGTCCAAGGGGAGGACCTGAAGAGGGTGACCCATTCAGACAGCAGACCTGCGACCGACCCAGTGGTGACCCAGCGCCAGGCCTGGTTTGAGAGATCCGCAGACGCACAGGGAACCAGCCGTGGGGTCCTCGGGCCCCCTTTGCCCTGTACCTGGGTCTTCCTCCGACGAGTCCTGCCACACCGGCTGCTGGTGGCACTCAAAGGAGAAAAAGCTCCCCTTGTGCAGTTGCCGAGGACCCGGCGGAATTCCCTGGGGACCAGGGCTCTCAACCCCGCGACCCCCCGCCCCCGGTGAAGAGCACCATTGTTCTCCTACAGAGAAGTTCACAGATACTATAACCCATCTCCACGCACAAAGGCAATCAGGATGCTGCGCTTACTGTCATGAAAGGAGAATGAAAGAGTAAGAAATCAGCTCACCACGAGGGAATTCCTAAGAGAAAAACAATAAGTTATGTGGAATCGGCTTCTCCTAAGTGTGGAGAAGAACTGAGCAAGCTGCACCGCGCGGCCGGCTTGGTATGGCACCAGGGGGCTTTCGGGGGGCGGCGGAGCCGATCTGGATTCTGTCCTTGGTGGTGCTCACACAAGTCTCCAACTGTGTAGAATTCACCAAAATGATCACCAAAAAAGTCCGTTTTCCCGATTGACAGATTTCTACAATTATAAAAACGTCATTGCCAGGAGCGACCCTGGGATCCGCAGAGGCGTCTGGCATGCCCGTCCGTGCCCATCTGTGCCCGCGAGCTGTGCCGGGGACCCGCCTGTGCTCCCCCTCGACTTCATGGGCTCCCTTGTTTTAGGGGACACAAGACTTTCGTGCTGGGAAAATCTCCAGTGGACTGGGTGGAGCTGGCCACTGACCCATGCCCTCACAAGGGTCTCCTCCTCCAGCGGGTCTCCTGACCACCATCCGGATGACAGCCCCCTCCCTACCCCCCGCACCTCCCCTGCTGCCCCCCGAGCTGCCCGTCCTGCCCGGTTCTACACGGCTCTTCTGTCTTGATCTGACGGTCACACACTGTCCAGTGGGGAGCTCTATGGGAGTCCAGTTCAGACAAGAGCCACCTGTGGGAAGCGCCGTGTGACCCCTGCATGGTTTAAAACACGCCAACTGGGTGGCTGACGGGGTGACGTTCACGGGCCCACGCGTGGCAAACCACAAAGCCCTGCATCAATGGACACCCGAGTGCATCCCTGGGGCCGACAGAGACGGGACTGTGGAGGGCAGGTCACAGGGGCACTGACCACTCCATGTTTTATTTTAAAAGAAAAACATCTGGAGCCGATGCGGTGGGACAGGCTTCACAGAGCTGGCCGGCCGCCCCGAGGCCCACACTGGCCTCTTCTCTCTACTTTCTGGAGGCAGAAGTATTTCCTAGCAGAGGAAGGCTGGGCGGTCAGCTGCTGGAGAGAGCCTGGCACTCCCCAGAGCGACAGAACTTCCTGGTGGCTCTCCATGGGCCTGTCCCGCTGCAAGGACCGCAGGACCGCGACTGCCACGTCTCAGGGAAGAAAATGCAAACTTGCACACAGAGGGCCCCCAGTGCAGCCCAGGCCCCCTCTGGGCCGGCCCAGCCAAGGCTCTCAGGGGGGAACCAGGTCCAAGGTTTAGCTCGCCAGGCGAGCTCCGGACAGAGGTGCCCAATTCCTTTGGTGAAGAACAGTAGGAAAGGCCCCCGGGGTCTCTCTAAGCACCAGAGACAAGCCTGGGGAAATTTCCACTTTCCTGGCGTTGGGCACAGATAGGCTTTCAGTCCTCATGTGGAGAGAGGAAGGGACAGTGTGACTTGCCACCTGAGACTGCCCAATGCCAAGACATCAGAAGGAAGAGGTGGGCTCACTTCCACGCTGCTTCACGCCAGCAAGTGTGGACCTCCCACCAGCGGCCCCAGGGCTCCAGCACTGGGCAGGGTGGGCAGCACCCAGGTAGCCGCAGGCCCTGCACGGGCCAGTCAGGTCAAACACCAGCAGGACGGAGGCCCAGGTGGCTGCAAGGACAAACACCCACAAGTTTGGGGCAAAATGATTTGGACACAAAGCTGTTCTTGGCCCTGAGTGTGCGTTGTGCCTGGTGAGTGCAGCCCCCAGGCCTGCGGCCACTTCCCCTGCCCTTCTGCCATGGTGCCCTGCCTCGCTCCGGCCCAGGGCAGAGGAGCTGCCCGTCGGTGGACTGAGAGCCCAGGAAACTTCCTCCTCTAGAACGGTTCTTGCCGGGGTTTTGGCCCAGGGTGAAGGCTGACTGAGACGCACTGCCTCTCCTTCCTCCTCCAGGACAGGACGGCTCCCGGGAGCTGTTGGGAGGCTCTGCAAACCGTGCCCAGGACAGGGCGGCCGCAGTCATGGCTGCAGGAGAGCCACGGCCATTATCACTGTCACCTTGATATCGTCCCCTGGGGACAGCAGGCCAAGCTGGCTTCTCCTCGGGGCCTGTGCCCTTGAGCCCTGCCCCCATCCTGGACCGAGGACCCTGGCCCTCCTCCTGGACCCAGGGCCTCCCCAGCCCCACCTTCTCCCGGGCTGTCACTCCTGGCCCCACCAGGAATCCTGGCTGGCCCTGCCCTGGGCGGAGTCCACCACTGGGGCCTTTCTAACTTAGACACGCACGTGTCCTCTCACCCAGCGTCCTTATCCCGTAGAAACCAAGGCACCCCGCCCCCCCATTATATATTCTTTGAAAAAAGAAATCCTCAAAGGTTTCTTCCCAGGGCCGACCAGTTAGTTGCAGTCAATGGCAGAATCTGAAGACGCTCTGAGAAACGTGCGGCCACGAGGCAGCTGTGTCGTTTTGCAGGGTGTGTTCACCGTGTGATGTCACTAGGACTGGGACACGGCACACAGCCCGTGACTGCACAGAGTGCTCCCTGGTGACGAGGCCCATCGCTAGGAAGCAAGGATTGAGGACAGGCAGTTAGTGTGCACAGGTGGTCAGTCGCATGGGGAGGTGAAAACTGACGTGGTCGAGGAAGATGCAGAGCCTCTGGGGGTGGCGATGCTCCCTGGTGACAAGGCGAAGCTGGCCTTTAAAGGACACCTTGTGATGGGTGTGTTACCAGCAACCTGACCAGGGACCCTGTCTGGATCCGGGCTGGCTGGACCCAGTCCCCCACCCTCATAGAAAAAGGAATTCTTGCAGTTTGATCAAAATGGGGACAAGCAGCTAGGTGGCTTCTCCCCACCAAGGGGCAGATGCCATTTATAGAACTGAGAGCCTGGGGAAGCACATGTACAGCCAGTTGTCCATGCTGGACGGTCAGGGGTGGGGTGACCTCCCTCTCCACTCACCTGTTTCTCTGCTGCTCCTTGGTGGGGTGTGTGGGGGGGTCACAGCCCTTGGGCTCCCTTCCCCCACCAGGGGGGACTTTGCTCTTATTTCAGAGGGAGGACCCTGCCTCCAGCCATTTCAGGTGGACACAGGGAAAGCACGTGGGGTGACGTCCGTCTGGTGAGCTCTGTTCTTTGATCCTGGATCCTGAGGTGTCCATGGCCCTGGGGATCTGCCTGTGGACCCCGTCTCCTCCGCAGGTGGCCGCGGGTTTCTGAACTACACCTGCTGTGCTCTGCCTGATCTCAGCGGCATTGTGAGGCCCAGGGCACAGGTGATCCCGCCAGCAGGAGGCGATTTTCAGAGCAACTTCACAGTGAGCTGAGACGGGGAGATTTCTCAGAGCTTTGGGAGTGACAGGCCCAGAGCACCAAGCGGGTGGGACCCAGGTATGGGGTGGGTGCTTCACATCCCCAGCTACAGTCCCTTCCTTTCCTTCTCCGCCTTCCGACCCGAGTCTTCTGCCCCACAGCCATCAAACCCCAAAGAAAAACCCGCTTTACCTGGAAACGGTGCTTTGGGCACTGTCCTGCTGTCCCCTTGGTTCCTGGGATGGCACCTCTGGTGTGAACTCAGGGCAGCTGTACCAGCTTTGTGCAAAACATTGCCAGGGTGACATCACCAGGCACCTCCCCCTGGGTCTGAGGGGCCTCCTCCACGTGCTTGTCACCGGCCATGTCACCCGTCATTCCAACGCCCCAGCGGCTGAATGTCGGGACAGGTGTGACCTAATTGCAAACTACTTTTCTTACATTTGCCTTTATATTATAATTAGGGCCCTGCACTGAATTTCTAAAAAGATGGGTAGGTAGGCTGTTACCCAAGAATTAACTTCAACTCAAAATTTAAACTAAAGTGGAAATGATACAGTATTTGCTTTAAAAAAAGATGCTATGGGGTCTCATAAGAGCTGAGAGCCACTTTTATACACACACACACACACACACACACACACACACACTGGGGATTGAACCCAGGGGCACTTCACCATTGAGCAACATCCCCAGCCCTTTTCAATTTTAATTTAATTTTATTTTTGAGAAAGGGTCTCACTAAGTTGCCGAGGGTCTCACCAAATTCCCGAGGCTGGCCTCGAACTCCTCCTGCCTCCGCCTCCCTGGGATCACGGGCCTGCAGCAGCCCGGTGCCTGGCTGAGAGCAGCACCCCTTTCCCCAGGGAACCAGCAGGCTCATTTAAAGAGGCTTTTGAGCCTCTTGTTAAATTGAGCCAGATTTTTATGTAGGAGGATCCTCTCCTCCCTGCTCACCCCTCCAGTTCTCCTCGCCAAGATTCCTCTTGAGAACGCTGCTGGGGCCAGAGCAGCTTGGATCCTCACATCCTTGGGCCATCAGAGTTCTGGAATTTTCCTGCGGATGAGTGTGACCCTCTGACTCTGGTTTGCTGCAGACACAGCTGGGGCTTCTGCCAAATTGAGGCCACTGCCTGGTGGGCTGATAATTTGTCTCTCCATAGGAGACAGATCAATAACCAACAAACAAGCACCTTAGAGGGAAGAGCAGAAAGCTCAGTCATGCAAATCAGGCAGAGGAGGGCTGGAGGGAGGCCATTCACACTCTGCGACTTCAGGACTTCAGCAGGGCCCTGGCCCTCAGCCAATTTCCAAGAAAACACTGGCCCAGAGCGGCCAGGCTCCGCACATTCATAAAGATTTGTCCCAAGCGGAGTAAACACCAGCGTTCCCAGGGCGCAGAGAGGCAGGAAATTAGCCCGAGGTTAACTGGGTCATTAGCTGCGACACAATGTGGGTCCTTGGGGATGGAATTTTGTTCCTTCAGCGGAAGACTCCAATCTAGTGACAGTTCTCACAGTGGGGGACGGTGACTTAGCAGCCTGCACAGGTCTCTTGGATACCAGGAGAGCTGTCATTGTGATTCATGGCGCCTCTGACGTCAGGGGGGATTTGGGGGGTGCAAAATTACAGTGTAAATACACACAAGAGGCCAGGTATGTGTGTGAGAGTGTGCGTGAGGGTGTGAGTGTGTGAGAGAGAGTGTGTGTGTGTGTGAGAGTGTTGTGTGAGTGTATGTGTGTGAGTATGTGAGTGTGCTGAGTGTGTGAGTTCGTGAGTGTGTGTGAGTGTGTGAGTTCGTGAGTGTGTGTGAGTGTGTGAGTTCGTGAGTGTGTGTGAGTGTGTATGAGAGTGTGTGTGAGTGTGTGAGTGTGTGTGTATGAGAGTGTGTGTGAGTGTATATGTGTGTGAGAGTGTGTGAATCAGCGTGTGTGTGAGTGTATGTGTGTGAGTGTGTGAATCAGTGTGTGTGAGTGTGTGAGAGTGTGTGAGAGTGTGAGTACGTGAGTGTGTGAGTATGTGTGTGTGAATCAGTGTGTGTGTGAGTGTATGTGTGTGTGAATCAGTGTGTGAGAGTGTGTGTGAGTACGTGAGTGTGTGATGTGAGTGTGTGAGTGTGCGTGTGTGTGTGTGTGAATCAGTGTGTGTGTGAGTGTATGTGTGTGTGAATCAGTGTATGTGTGAGTGTATGTGTGTGTGAATCAGTGTGTGAGAGTGTGTGTGAGTACGTGAGTGTGTGAGTGTGTGTGAGTACGTGAGTGTGTGAGTGTGTGTGAGTGTGAGTGTGTGAGTGTGAGTGTGTGTGTGTGTGTGTGTGTGTGTGGTGTCATGAGCAGCTGCAGAGTGGAGGGGACCCACGCCCCCCACACCAGGCCAAGTGAGGGACTAACGAGTGAGCGAGGCCTCCTTCGCTGGCTCTCCTGGGAGGGCCGTGTGTTAGTCTTGCTCTTTAACTGCACCACGTCAGGCGCCAGCTCGCACAAATCAAGGTGGCCTCGTCCGCGTTCTGCGTATATCTTGACGCTTCATCTTCTGTCTGTAGAGTAAGAAAACCAAATAGTCGGCGGAAGGAGGCTCGGGCTTCACAGGGCAGAGCTGGGAGATTGGGAGGGAAGGCAAGCCCCTGGTCACTAGCACTAACCTGCCTCTGGCTGCTACCTGGGTTAGGCCATCTGTCCCCTGCACTCACCTGTGACAGCACAGTCTCCTGCTCCTCATTCTGAGGTGACGGCAGGGCCTGGTGAGGAGGGAGCCCAGCCCCGGCCCTGGTCCGGGGCCTTAGGAGGAGCTTCTCCCGGGCAGTCAGGCTGCGGGCCCTTTGATCCATTGCTAGGAGCCACAGCAAAAGTATTATGATGCATGGCACCTTTGGTTAAGGTGATGCCAGCTAGCCATTGAGATGATATGATTATGTTAAGATTTACATTCATATGGAAATTGGACTCCTGCTGTTCACCTCGGCCTGTTATGGGACTCCCGGAGAGTTCCCATTGGTTGGGGAAGGATAGTAGGAGGGAATTTCCAGAGGAGGTGCGGGCCCCGGTTCTGGTAGACACACACATGTGTGTGGACAGGCTGGCTAGCGGGACGCACACGGGTCACTGGCGGCCTTTTTAAAATAAAACTTTATTTCTGCTCGAGCGGCTTGTGTTTCTGTGCCCAGCCGGGTTGCGGCAATCCATCCCCTTCTTGCCCTGAAGTCAGGGCTCTGCCAGGGTCACCTCTAGGGGAGCTTCCTCCTGGCACCACATCCTCAGTGGCCCCTCCACCTGGGCACGTCTGGCCTGCCACCTTGTCCCCCTTCTCAGGGCCCCTCAGGCCATCTGAAATGACCTGGAGTATGGATTGACTCAGGGACCATCTCCCCCTCCCCACCTGAGCGCAAGCTCCAGGTAGGGACCTATCTGTCTGTCCCCACCCCCTAGGGTGGCATGTGGCACAGAGGCACGGCCCAGCACATGATGGAGGACACTGGCATCCAAGTCCGGGCGGCAGTCCTGGCAGGGCCACCCGCTGGCACCTGGCTGAGGAGCAGGGGCCTCTTCTCGGGTCAAGGTCTCCTCCTCTCTGGAAGTGGGCTGATACCAAATAGGCCCCTGAGCGGCCTCAGTGACGGAGGTGACGTATAGCACAGTACGTGGCCAATGCACAGGGATGGGGGTGAGGCCGCCACACTGTGGCTCTGCTGGGGACGGTGGTGTGGGCACAGTGGAACTGCCGGTTACCGTGACGACGGAGGGTGAGCGTCTGAGAAACACTGAGGGACGCGGGCCACTCTAGACCACGAGGGTTATTTGAGGAATGGTAACACGCACTTCTCCCCCGAGAAGGGGACCCAGAGTTGGTGTCCAAAGAAATGGGAGTGTCTGTCCCTTTTATAAATTTCAGATTCTCTGTTCTCGTGCCCTCCTGCCGCCTCATCTCTGGGTAACCGTGGAGGATGGGCTCTGAGGCTTCAGCACGCCACCCCCAGAGGCCCTCCATCTTCCCAGACCACACTAACTGCCTTAACTCCCAGTGACAGGCGTCGAGCGGTCCCTGCATGCCAGGCACTTCCCAAAGATTTCCCGTGACTACGTCACTTGCTTCTCACCAGCAGGCCTCCCTGTGACGTTACCATCCCCCTGCACAGGCGAGGCTCGGGAGGCTCGGGCACTGTCTGGTGGCCACACAGGGGCTGTGGTGGGCTGAGGCCTGGGGGTGGGCTCCAGAATCCGCCCTTCTCACCTCAGTGCCACAGTCTCCCCTGGAAAACCCAGACGTGAACTAGCAGCAGGATGTGCGAGTGTGAGCAGCCAGGCAGACGGACGCATGCCGTCCATCGACAAGCTCTCCGGCGTCCAGGAATCGGAACCCATGTCCCAAAGCACTTCCAGAGCAGCGTGTGACCTTGGGGTGCACAGGGTGGCGTTTCCCCTGTGTGCGCGAGGCAGGGCTCGTGCCAGGGCTCTGAAGAGCTGCTACTGCCCCGTCCAGCTGGAAGAAGACAGGAAGTGGCCACATCCCCGCAGGCTACGGTTCCTTTTAAATCCCCTCGACTTGGCGAGGCCTGGGTGGTCCTGCAGAGAGGCAATTTGTCCAGCCAAATGTTTCTGAGCAGGAACATCTAGCCGCCTCCCCGTGCCCCTTCTCTTATACGACAGAACCTCGGCTGCCCCAGCGAAGCTCTCCTCCTCCCGGGGGCTGCAGGTGGGCGGCCAGGACAGCCAGCTCCAGGCCACAGGAAGAAAGGGGTGACGTCCAGGTCACACCATTCAAAGCCAGTCTCCTCCTTCCTGCTGTCCCCCTTCCTGCTGACCAGAATGCTGCTCTGTGGAGAACCATCTTGGGCCACCTGGGCTAGAGGGACACCTCCGTAAGGGTGGGACCACAAGACAGAGTCGGCCCCAGCCTCTCGGAGCCCAGTGTTCAGGTGGGAATGGAGGGGCGCCATGGGGACGTAGCTCAGGGCTTGGGGGTGGCCTCCTTGTTCCTCCTGCGCCCCCAGGGACCCGGGCCTCTTCCCTCTCGGCTCCCACCCTTTGCCCCTCTGGGCTGCAGGCCCCTGGCTCGGGCACTCTGGGTACAGGATGGGGTCACCCACGATCACCAGAGGTTCCACCACTCCAGGGCCGGCGTCAGCCAGAGGTGCGGTTCCCAAAGCCCCGAGGGACGGCAGGATTCGGGACACCAGGACTTCCCTTCAGCTGGGGCTCAGGGCCCGTCCTATAGGAGGGGACCCGGGGGGCCACGGCTGCCTTTGACCAGCAGCTCCTGTCTGACGTGGACGCCAGCCCAGCTGGGTGTCTGGGGGAGGGAACGGGACCCTGTGGGACTGAAGCTCCTGCTGCACCTGCTGGCTGTGGGGACCTGGTCTTTTCAGCACAGGGAGGACTTCAATGACGGGTGGAGCCACCTGGTGAGGCAGGCGCTCGCTGTCGTGGGGAGTGGCGGGGAGGCGGGTGGCGCTGGCTGGATGGGAGGAGGGCTGAGGGGCTGGGAGGAGCCTGAAGACCCCCGGCCTGTGTGGTCACCCTTTCTCGGTGCTGGGCCCCCAAAGAGTGTGGGTGGAGCCCCGGAAGGCCAGGCTCGTCGCCCCCACCCTGCCTCCCACGGGCTTGGCGCAAGGCTGCCCCTGGATCAAGTCCTCGCAGGACAGGGCCCTGGTGCTCTGAGGCCCTCATCTCCGAGACGGATTACCCCAGGAACACGGGAGGGAGGGAGGGCGGGCTTTGGCTCCTGGTCTCAAGGTTTCCGTCCAAGGTCGCGCAGCCCCCTGCTTTGGGCCTGGGCAGCGTCTGAGCAGGAGGGTGGGAGGGTGTGGCGGAGGACAGCTGGAGGCAGGGACCAGGGACGGATACGGTCCCCAGGGCACAGCTCCGGGGACCCGCTCCCTCCGAGGTCCCACCTGGGCAGCTCATTCAGCTGTGAATCCTCCACAGGCCAGTCCCTGGGGGGGGGGCAGAGTCCTGCCCTCCAGGCCCCCCTCTCTGAACTCGCTGCACTGGGGACCAGGCCTCCAACCCAGGAGTCATTGGGGGCTCCATGTCCTCTTCAGGGCCATCTCTGGAGTGGACAGTGGGCGTGGAGGCTGGTGCCCCCGGGAGGCAGATCTACCCACTTCAGCACCTTCAGACCCCACGTGGCTTTAGATCTGTTTAAATTTCAAAACTAACACGGGCACAAGAACATAAAATCGCACCTAAGACCCGGCCATGAACCAAATGTGACCCCCCACCCCTCCTCGGCGCTCAGGGCCTGGCGACTGCCGCCATCTTTGGCTTTTTGGTGGAGATCAGCCGTCGTCTGGGGGACACACAAACCTCTTGGGGTCTCTCACTTTCCTCTGGCCGTCTTGAGCGGCCTTAGGTGCCTTGGTGTTTCAATTCTCCTGTGAAGGACTGAAACCCCCTGCCCTCCTGCGAGCTCACCTCACCGCGTGGGAATTGGCCCCCCCAGGCTGCCGTCCACCTTCCCTCCCAATCCTCCTTCCCTGTCCCCCTTGCCACTCGCCTGTTGTTGCACTGTTGGTTGAAAGTCTCACCCTGACCACAGCCACAGGGGTCTCCTGGGCCGTGGCCATGGAGGGAGTCTGCCCAGGGAGGAGCAGTTGGTGTGCTTAGACCCCGGATCCCTTGCCCACCCCCACCCTCCTGTGTGTCCTGTGGAGTCGGGCCCAGCCATCAGGGCCATCCCCCTGTCCCCAGCCCCAGCATAGGCCTGGGGGCTGCTCCATGGGCAGCTGCTGGATGAGTGAGCCCGAGGGCAGGAGGTGGCTTT